CACTGTTAAAGAGTTGGATTCTCATGCTAAGCATGGACAAAGTTTCAAAAAACAATTTGGACGTATGACGGAGTATTTCTGTGCCAAAAATATTACTTCCGGGTTCGTACAAGTTTCGGAGAGTTTTTTTCGATCGTGGCTCTTAATGACGTAATTGAGGGTGGAACTCCTTATATGGGCATTTCTCCCGGAAGAATGTGCCCGCATCAACCAGAGCAAGATTGCGCCCATCAACGTGCTTCATCCGGCGGCAGCGCTGGATTTGCACATGGTTTGATACTGAAAGATGGAGCGGTCCCAGCTTTAAAAGATCCCGGTCATGATTCAGAACTGCAGACGGTAAGTGAAACGGCATCAAATGTCTGTTTCATTGGCATTCGGCGCCCAAGTGCTCGTCACTCTTTAGCTCCGCCCACGGCGTGCCTCCAGGAGCGCGGCTTTTCCGGAGAGAATTGTAAAGCTGTATCTTTCTTTTATAAATATGATAAAACTAAAGACTTTTTGGAGATATGAAGGATGCAGTACTACTCTATAGGTACTCAAGATTAACATGAGATTGGGTGAAACTGTGTGTTATGCCCCCTTTAAGCATTCTAAGTGTTGTTTGTGTTGCTATGCAGTTTCTGGGGAGTTCTGGATTGTTGCTAAACCATTACTATGCAGTTACTTATGTGTTCTAAGTGGTTGCTTGTGTTGCTATGCAGTTTCTGAGGTGCTCTGGGTGGTTTGTGTTTCTAGGGTGTTTTAGGGGATTGCTTACTGACATGGCTCAAAAGAGCCACGCCCACAATCCTCTATGAGATTCTTCATTTGATGCAAATCTTAAATCTAAACACTTTCAAAATTACTGAAGGTTTGTTCTATGAAAAGGTTAAATTACCTGTTTTCTTGAAGAATGAATGGCCTTCCTCTCATAAGTTCCACTCCAGGCACACCACAGCTTTCCAAAAATAAACTTCACACACCAGAATCACCTTTCAAGGAAAAAAGCAGCAGCATCTTCTCAGCAGAGCCCCTAATACAGCCCTCATTACCATTACTAACATGGAAATGTCAGAAAAAAAGAAAAAGCTTTTAGCATAAATGTCAGATCTCAACAGGTCCCGGCAGGAACCACTTTGACGGCGACTCATCTTTCAAGAATTTTCTGAGCTCTCCCGCTGAGGTGTATGAATAGAAAATATATTAGGTGGAAAATATAGATACACACACAAAAGGGTGGGTTTTCTAGTTTACCTACAATGAGATAAAAGTGAAGGAGCATCTAGTTCACGCAAAAATCATTTACTCACCTTCATGTTGTTCCAAATCTGACTTTCATCAGCCACGAATGCGTCCTATACATATGAGATTATTCATATTTCTACACAATATAAATGCAATACTACAACAAGTGAACAAAAATACAGAGAATACTCACATTAACTTGAAAAAGTAAAAGTTATGTGCTAATCATATGTTTTGATTGTGAATATGCTTTTATATTATCTTATTTTAGACTAAAATTAAATGTCCGTTTATTCGGAATCTAAAAAAACTGCAAAAATTAAGTAAATGATGACAGATTTTCGCTTCTGCTCCAGTCCAGAATACGCGATTTTAAAAGACTTTCAGAGACGATCGAAGTAACTCCTGCAAGGTCCTTATTGTTCAGTTCGTCCTAGATTAACATAATTTCTCACAAGGGTATTTTTGGACTCCAGGTTTTTAAGAGAGCAATATAACAGATCTGACATTGATATGAGAACACATATCAAGAAATGATGAGACAGATGGAAAGAAAGACTGAGAGAGAGTGGAGACAACCGTGGAGAACTCTACTGACAGCGTTTGTCCATGACCACAGAAGCGGAATTATTACTGTTATTACAGTGATTAACTGGTTACAATACAATAGTAAATATTTAGGGCAATGGCAGTCATTTTAGTTTTTTAAATCAGGCCTCAATCTTACAGAAAATTGCAAGTCAGAAGGTCAGAGACCTCACAGCTATGTCCTAAAAAGATTTTGCCAATGCTCTCGTTAAGCTCTGAAAACATTATTTCCGAATGTTCTTTAAAAAGTTATCTAATGAACATTCAACTAAAACATTTCACATGTTTTTGTGCTAATGTTTTGACAGCGTTATTAAAGACCTGATCACTTTGAATGAACGTTGTGTTAACATTACTGAATATTCAGAACTTTAGAGAACCTTGCCAGAACTTTAAACCCTTTTCAGACAATTCCCTAAAGATGTCAGCTAAAATGTTGTCCAAATGTCCCAAAACCTCACTAAAAATTACCTGCTGTTTCAGTTGACACGAAAAATCAAATTCCATGTGAATAGGAATGTTTATAATTGCAGTATTGTATTTTCACCTTCTTTCAAGCAATAAGGCACACACACACACACACACACACA